GGAAGGTGTCCCCTTCCCAAGGAGATTAGCAGGTCTCTGCAGCCACGTCCTGTGGAGTCCCAGACACCCTGCACTGCCCTTGGCCCCACAGCAGCCCCAGCCCTGGAGCACACTTCCCCCTCTTGGTGGTGTCTCCAGAGAAGGTTAAAACGGGGAAGTAGTCATAGTAATGGGTTCTAGACACTGAAGGTGGAGGAGCTGGACGTATGCTTGAAGCAGGTGGACAGGTACACAAAATACACTCCTATCTTTTGGGCATAAGACTGGGGACAGATAGAGGTGGGTGCCAGCTCCCAGGTGGAGGAAGATGAGAAGCCCCCAGCTTCTTTGCTCAGTTCAGCACAGAACAGGTCTGATCCTGGTCTGAAAAGGTCATGGGTTCTCTGTGCGGCTTAGAGCTAGGCAGGGCCCTCCCTGCTCCAGCCAGGTCCCGCTCACAGATTGTTTACTGAGCACCTGTATGCCAGGCACTGAGGACTTGTCTCTGTCCTGAAGAGGTTCAGTTAGTAGGGGAGTGGTAAAGCCAATGAGAGGGAAGGTTCCTGGGGCTCCTATAAGAAATGACCACTAGGCCCTGGCTGGTGTGGCTCATTGGATTGAGTGCTGGCCTGCGAACCGAAGGGTCACTGGTTCAATTACCAGTCAGGGTGCACGCCTGGGTTGTGGGCTAGGTCCCTAGTAGGGGGCACATGAGAGACAACCACACACTTATGTTTCTCTCCCTCCCTTTCTCCTTCCCTTCCCCTAACTTTAAAAATAAATAAAATCTTTTTTAAAATAAAAAAGAAATGACCACTGGCTAAGGGGCTGAAAACAACAGAAATATATGGACAAAAAAAGGGTTCTGTGGACAGTAACCTCACAGGGTGATCAATCATAAATTCCTAACTGGGCAGGTCATGCCTTAGGCCTATGACTTTTTCAGTGAAAGTCAGCCCTGTCCATTGTTCTCGTGCATCTGGGTTAACACACCTTCGAAATGCCCGGGGAATACCTCACAGAGGTCAACTGTCCTACCTGAGGTCACACGGCCACATGGCAGAGGTGGGATTTGAACCCTTCCTTGTCACCCTGTGCTGGTGCCCAGGACCAGCCCCCTCACCCCACTAGGGTGTCTGAGAGCCCTTCCCAAAGCTGACGCAGGTGTCAGTGCGCTCCGGTCCTCAACATGACGACTGTCAAAGCCAGAGCTATAGTGGTGGGCCCACGGTGGTGGTGCTGACAAGCAGAGGCAGAAGGATCTAGAAATCTGTCACTGCTTTGGTGTTAGGCTGGGCGTGCTCAGGGCCAGCACTTCCCCAGAACAAGGAGGGTCTCCCAGGACTGTGCAGAGAGCAGCCATCGTAACGTTGAGCAGCTTGCACCGCTCACCTCGCTTAGTCCTCATACAAATACAGAAGATAAGGCTGTGGTCAGAAGGTGTGTCCCAGACTCATGTGTTGGAACCCTAACACCCCATGTGATGGCATTAGGTGTGGCCTTTGTGGGGTGATCAGGTCACGAGCGTGGAGCCCTCCCGAATGGGACTAGTGCCCTCGTAAAAGAGACCCCACAGAGCTCCCAGGGCCCTTCCATGTGAGGACACAGTAAGAGGTCTGTGAGCCAGAAGAGGGCCCAGTTCTGACCATGCTGACACCCTGATCTTAGACTTCTGGCCTCCAAACTATAAGAAACCAATTTCTGCCGTTATTAGTCACCTAGACTGTGGTATTTTGTGACAGTAGTCACAAATACCACAGACTTAGATAAGGCCTCGGTTTACAGAGGAGGAAACTGAAGCTGCCTGGCTGGCCACCTCCAACCTGACTCAGCTTGCACGCTGGGCTGCATGCTGGGCTGCCTCCCGTCCCTCGGTGAGTCATCTCCTTGCAGTGACTGTTTTTGCTTTATGTCTCTGCCTCTCTCTGTGGCTCACGGAGAAACAGGGAACAGGAAGCAGCAGGGAGACTGTCATGAGGGCGGCCTGTCCTGGGGGCGGGGCAGCAGGAGGCCTTCCCCCACCAGGGCAGCACCTGGGGCTGGGCTCCCCTTCCAGCTCACGTAGTCCCCTGGAGAGTAAATGCCCAGCAGGAGGGCCACGAAGTTAAGAAACAGGTGCCTCCCCCGGGACCAGTCAGCCAGGAGCAGCTGCCTCCCTGAGAACACAGGAATACCCACTGCAATTATGGCTTATTTGACTATAGATCTGCTCTGCCTCACCCCAACCCCCTTGCAAGCCCCTGAGCATGAGGGTACCCCAGGCCTAGCACAGGACCTGGTCACATCAAGTGGGGTGCTTTAAAAGGTCACACAGGTCTTGACACTTCTCCCATTGAGAGGTAGGGTCAATGTCCCCTTTCCTTGAACTTGGGAGTTCATGACCACTTTCCCCAGTACAGTACTAGGGAAATGCTGCCGTGTGACTCGAGGCTTGGTCAGAAAAGGCCATGTAGCTTCTCCCTTGTCCTCTGGGACACTTCTCTGTGGGCAGCAGCCACCATCTAAGAAGTCCACACCCCTGACACCATCATGCAGAAGAGGCCGTGTCAGGTGCTCTGATCCACAGCCCAGCTGATCTCCTGGACCACAATCTCAGCTGCTGGCTACATGAGTGGGCCAGCTTGGACATCCTGCCCAGTCGATCTGGACACAGCCTAACGAGAGACCCCTGCTAGCAAGAACTCTTCCTAAAATCCCGTCCCACAATATCAAGGGCAAAGTAAAATGGTGGTTTTACACTATTCCATTTTGGCAATCTGGAACAGCTGTTGAATGAACAATGCATGGAGTAATGCAGAGTTGTGTCTTAGCAAGGAGACTCAAGCACCCAGAACTTCATCCCTAACCCCTGCCAGGCCCTAATGGAGGCCAGGAAATACTGGGTACCTAGCAGGTGCTGGTTACAGGGGATAAAGAGATGGTAAAGTCAAGGTCTCCTTGCCTTTGAAGACCTCATGATCCCATCAAACACCCTCTGGAATCTCCGCAAATCCCTGAGCTGTAAAAACTGCAGAGAAAGAGCTAAACACAATACAAATAAGCAATCTCTGAGATGCAGAGTGCAAAACACTGGTTATAACGATGCTCAAGGACTTAGTGAGGACCTCAGCAGCAAAAAAAAAAAAGATCCAGTCAGAAACAAAGGATACACTAATTAAAATAAAGAACAATTTACAGGGATGAAGCTAAGAATCAAATCAATAGTTTGGAATATAAGGAAGCAAAAAAACTACCACTTAGAACAAGAGGAAAAAAGAATTAAAAAATGAGGATAGCATACAGCCTCTAGGGCAAGTTTCAGAGTTCCAACATTTGCCTCACATGGGGTACCAGAAGGAGAAGAGCAAGAAATTGGAAATCCATCTGAAAAAATAGTCAAAGAAAACTTCCCTCATTTGGTGAAGGAAATAGACATGAAAGTCCAGGAAAAGCAGAATCCCAGTTATGATGGATGCAAAGAGGCCCACTCCAAGACACACCATTATTAAAAGGTCAAAGGTTAAGGATAGGGAAACTCTTAAAAGCAAGAGAAAAGCAGTCACTTACCAGAACGTTGCCAGATGAAAGGGGGGAAGGAGATAATGGGTGAAGAGGTGAGGAGATTAAGAAGTACCAATAGGTAGTTACAGAATAGCCATGGGGATGTACAGTACAGTACAGGAAATGGAGAAGCTGAAGAACTTATATGCATGACCCGTGGACATGAACAATGGTGCAGGGATTGCCTGAGGGGGTGAAAGGTGCTGGGTGGAAGGGGGGGTAAAGGGGGAAAATCAGGACAAGTGTAATAGCATAGTCAATAAAATACATTTAAGATAAATAAATGAAAACAAGCTCCTTGACACACCAACCCGGGTCCACCCTCTTTGCTCTTCCCCTCAGCAGCAGCCCCATGGAGTCCGTAGTCCCCTGGTCCCTCCGCCTCCTGGCCTGCTTCACCCCTCTCTCCTTCAGTTCCCAGGTGTCGCTTCCTGGGGGAGGCCCTCCTTGATGCCTCTGACCAGGCCTAGTCCCCTTGTCATTTCCTCCCACGGAGTCCGGCTTCTCTTCGAAGGGGAGTTTACCATCACCTGTGATTGTCCCGAGTTCTCTGACTAGAGCTCAAAGCCCACAGGCCAGGAAGCCAGAGACCCAGCTTGGCCCCTGCGCTCTGCGTGTAGGAAGCTCTGGGGCTGGGGTGCGCAGCACTGGGGCGACCTAGAGGCAGGCGTGATGTAATAACCGAGCGCCTCCTGGGCACCCTCAGAACCGTGCTGCTCCTTCGGCCTTCCCACCTATCAGAGAGGGTGATATTGTTGCCGATTTTGCAAATGAAGAAACTAAGGCTGAAAGAGGTTAACTAACTTGCCTAAAGCCACACAGCCGAGAGCAGAGGAGCCGGTATTAGAACCCAGACATGGCTGGCACGGGCCAGGGATCGACCTCCAGCTCCGTGCTGTCGTAGGGCAGCTTAATCGTGGCCTTGGCCACACGTGGCAGGACTCCTTCCCGCTCTGACTTTGGTTTCGGCCCTTTCCCCGCACCCTCCCCACCCCACCCAGCTGCCTGATTCTGAGGTCCCATCGTGTCTAGCATGCTGGAAGTCTGGGTTTGAAGCTCTAGGACAACCTCAGAAAGGATGTCACAGGCCAGCTTTTCCTGAAAAGACAGAGGGGAGGCTTCTGGCCATGCAGGAAACACCCAAATCCTGCTGTCACACCACCATCTCAATTCCAGGGCCTCTCCACTCCCCTCAAATGCCTCAGTGCAGGGGCATCAGGAGATCTAGGTTCGAATCCCAGCTCTGCCTCTTTCTACTCGGGTGGCCTCAGGGGAATCAGTCTCTCGGAGCCTCTGTTCCAGAAAGTGGGGACACAAACAGCGCCAGTTTCTTAAGGTGGTTTGTTAAGAACTAAAGTAAGATTCTCAGCAGGAATGTGCCCAGCCACCACCAGCTCCACAGATGCCTATTAAATCTGAAGATGACAATGGCTTTTGCTTTTATAATTAAAAAAAAGCTTTATAAGGCAAATCAGACAAACTTGTTCTTTGAAAAACAAAAAAATTTTATTTCTGTAAACTGTTTGAGTGCAGATGTTCACAGCCCCAATACAGCACAGATTTCCTCCCCACAAACAAAATGAACAAGGAAAAAGAGAAAGAGAACAATATAAAATATGCTCATGAAGAACCAAGCCAATCTCATCTTTCTTTGAAAAAAAAAATAACCCTTTGAATGTGTGGTGCAGACGCAGGATTCAGGTCACAGGTGGCCTGGGGCTGCCGCACACCCCGAGAAGGTGGCAGACAGGACCTCTGCCCGAGAGATCCCCGCTGTCAGCCGAGGACCTGAAAGTAAAGAATCAGCTCCCAGGGCTACCCACGTTCCTGTTCCGCACCCCGGGCCTCTCTCCCCAACGTCCTGGTCCCTTTGGGAGCCTCTGAATTGACCCTGAAAGACTCCCTCGGTCAAGTCTAGACTCAGACCTTCCCCCACCCCACGCCACAGTGGGTCTCCAATCAAAAGGGTGGGAAAGCGAATGCCAGGCAACTTTTAAGGCAAATTTTCTCTCCTTCGGTCTGAGTCAGGCCTACACCTCTCACCACCGAGCACCATCTCTGCAGCTTAGGCAACTTTGAATGAGGTGGGGGAGGGACCCTGGAGCATGTTCCGGGAGGTCTGAGCCTGACATGTGGGGCGAACGCGTGTGCTTATGAAGGCCACCGGCGACGGCGTGGCTCCGGGCACAGCTGCCTCCTCGGCGTTAGGCGGTGGGCAAGCCGAGGAAAACCAAGACGGCAGCACTGGCACGGGCTCCAGAGCAACCGGAGGTCACAGCAGAGGAGGCCAGGCAGGCCAGGAGAAATGCCAGGGAAAGGGGTCGCCACGGGAGGTGCCTCAGACCTGAGGATGTCACCGCAGGAGGCACAAAGATCTGATCTTGGCATCACAATTTTTCTTCAGAATAAGAAAGCAGGGGACAAAAGAGAAAGAAGGTAAAAGAAAGATGTTCCATGAGCTTTGCGAGATAGGACATATCAGGACTCATAAGGGAAGCAGGGAAGGGGAGCTGGGTTGCAGACGGGGTGCTGGGTTGTTGCCTTTCATTGCGTCTCCTCTCCCTGATGGGCTGGTAGCTGAAGCCGGCGTCCCCTCCCCTGGAGAGCAGGCAAATGACTTTGGCAAGGGGCAGGGGGAGGGCTGGGGCTACTCGGTCTGGGCGTCATAATTGGCTCCCCCAGCCTTCTTGAGCTCATTCTTGATGAAATCTTCCTCCAGCTCCTTCCGGTCACTGATCACAAACTCTTTAGCGAAATTCTGCAAGAACAAAATAAAACAGAATTCCTGGTAAGAAGGGACAGGATCTAAGCATTGCTCAGGCAACACACCAGGAAGTCTCCGCACCTAAAATACTAAGAAATGGTCAAAATAAACATGTCGTGGCAAAATAGTTTGGCAGAAGAAAAAACATGACGAAAGATCAGAAAATGGGTAAAGTGAAGGTACTGTGTAGTCCCAAGACCATGGTGATAGGTCAAGGTCAGATGTGGGTTTGAACCCCGGTTCTGTCATTTCCTGACTATGTTACTTTGGACAAGTTCCTCCAACTTTCGGTGCCTCGGTTGCCCCATTTGTGAAGAACCACCATTAGGAGAATAATAGGAGATAAGGTTAGAAAGATAAGCTGTTGTGCTGGTAAATGTTTAACACCAGGCTCTTAAAAAGAGAGTGAGAGAGAAGTGAGGGAGAGAAAAAGCAGAGAGAAGCGCTGGTTTCTAGTTTTGCCCATTTCCGTGGTGTAAATATTCCTATGGTGGTTGATTTCAAGCTACCAACATGACATCATTGTCCATGGAGTTGGAAAGAGACACATGATTGGCTCTCATGCTGGTATAAGCTAGCCTCCTGCCCCCATCATAATGGTGCAGGGTTTCCAGTCCCAGGTCTGAGTGATCAGCCCAGGCACTGCACACAAAGCATGTACTGAGCTCTCAGCCACACTCAGTTCCTTTTGGGCAGCGGTGCGCATTCATTTACCAAACACCATGCCCTGTGACTGGCTTTAGCGACACGCTAAACTCGGTCACTGTGCCCTCTTAGGGTGCACGTTTCAACCACAAACCTCCACAGGCCAGGCAAACACGAAGCACTCAGTAAATACTCGTGGCGTGAATGAGTGAAGCAGGTGACCTGGCTTATCAGATAACTCCGAGCCATGAGGAATCGACAGCTATTTTAACATGTGGGTCACAAGACTTCAACAAACGAGATAAACCTGAGAGTGGTGACATACAGACAGTTTTACCAAAATATAAATAACAAGTCTGAAAGTCAGAAAATCAACCTCATAAACAAACTCCACAAGGAAATAACATCAGTAATGACCACCATTTATTACACACTTTTGTGTGCCAGATACCGCCACACATTGGCAAACTTCTTAAAACCCTGTACTAAAACCAACAGACCTCCTAGAGACCTACCCAAGCGAAATGAAAGTGTACATCTGCACAAACACCTACACACAAATATCCCTAGCAGCATTACTTGTAACAGCCAAAGAGTGGAAACAATTCAAATGTCCATCGACAGATGAACAGATAAGCAAAATATGATCTGTCCGCACAATGGCATACTACTCAGCCAGGAAAGAATGAAGTACTGATGCATGCTACAACGTGGATGAACCTCAAAACCATTATGGTAAATGAAAGAAACCAGCCATGAAAGAGCATGGGGTGGAGAATTCCACTCATATAAAATGTCCATAAAAGGCAAATCCATGGAGACAGGAAGTATTGACCAGATAAGTGGCTGCCAGGGGTTGGAGGGGGCGTAGGGAGTGACTACTATGCATCTGAGGTTTTTGGGGGGTGATGAAAATATCTGGGACGAAACAGATGGTGGCTGCACAGCACTGGGAGTGTAGTAAGCACCACTGGAGTGTATATTTTAAAATGGTTCATTTTATGTTATGTGAGCTTTACTTCAATTAAAAAAAACATGAATACAAACATAAGTCACCATCCCTTCAAGTAGAATGACTAAGCCCAGGAGAGCACTGAAGGTCAAGTTTTACAGTATCAACACAAACCGTTTGCCATGCCAAGCCACTAAGAATATGAACAGGGAGGGAGGAGGGGGAGGTTACTATTTATCAAGCAGCTACTATGGGCCAGGCGCGCCTCACACTTTTTCTCACTTAATCCTCCCTCAGTATATTAGCTTTTTATTTGTGATAAGACCTGCAAGTTGGGCTTGGTGTGATTGTGTAACTCGCCTGGGGTGACTAAACATTGTTTCTATTCCCTACTGTGCTGCCCGGGGTCTGTGTACATCCTCAGAATAAGCAAACCCTAGCTGGATGAAGGGGCCAGAAAGGAGAACTGGGAATGAACGAGTTTCTCAACCCAGAGCCCCAGGGGCACGAGGAAGGGCAGAGGGCAGACTCGGGGGAAGGAAGTCAGCAGCTCAGGGGTTTATAGAAGGAAGCCCAAGGTCTTGCTGCCTGCAACAGCTATATATGGCAATCTAAAGCAATAAGGACACTCCCGTTTATGTGGGTTAGCCATTAGAAGGTTTAGATTAAGAAGTTTGATAAGGGCTAAGAAATCTACGGGGAGCACAATCCAACCTAAATCACAAGTATATGGGTTTTCAAAGTACGGACAAAATGAAGAACAAAACAGGATAAAGAAGAGTAATGAAAAAATAAACAATAAATGCAAATGAACAAAACTACCTTTTAAAAACGTCTGTCTCAAACTCCAAAAAAAGCAATCCCAAACCCTGTGCTACATACCAGAGACACGTTTAGAACCAGGAGATTAGCAAAAAATTATTCTACCAAACTAAAGTACATAGAAAAGCAACCTTATCCATCCCCACTACTGAGACCAGCACCCAAAGGGCAGGTGGGAGGTGACAGCCACACAGGAGGCCTCACGGGCCTCCCCACGCCCCGGATGCTTGTGCACCCTCCGGGGCTTCAAGTGAGTCGACTCTTCCCTTCATGGTGTGGACTCTTCGAAAGTCCCAAAAAAGTCTGATTCATCCTAAAACCCAAGTCAAAAAGACCCTCATATTTCTCCACCGTGAGCAGTCCTTGCAAAGTGGGCCTTAGACTTGGCAAGGGGGATGCCATCGCCCCCGCTCATGGATCTCACTGTGTGTTTTTAAAAAGAGGCAGAGTCCTGGCCGCACAGCTCAGTCGGTTGGAGTGGCAGCCCGTACATCGAAAGGCTGTGGGTTCAATCCCTGGTCAGGGAACATGCAGGAGGCAACCAATCGATGTTGCTCTGTCTCTTTCTCCCTTTCTCTCTCTCTCAAATCAATAAGCATATCCTTGCGTGAAGATTTAAAATTAATTAATTAAAAGAGACAGATATGAGCAAAAAGGGGTCTGTGGACAGCCAGACCCTGACCTGGGGGCAAGACCCAAGGCCTGCAAGGACTTAGCCACATGCGAAGTGGCCGCCTCCCCACTCCCAGCCACTGTCCCCGACACTCTCAGGGTGCCATCGAATGGCTACTGGGCAGATGCAGGAACACTAACTACTCAAAAGACAATTCCTTACTAGGAAGGGGACCGTCAGATCCCAGGACAACACTAATACATAGAGAATTTCAAGTTTTCCAGGAGCCCCTTTTGAGGAAAGCAGAAGAGAAACAGGTGACATTGATTATAAAAATATATTTACAATATTCCTACTTTAACGCGATCAATGGATAAAACCATCAATGAGCTCTTTTACCTCCTTCCCCTTACACCGAGTCTCCCGGAGCCAGTGCACCCTGTACTCGCACGTCACACAGCAGGATGACAGGCCACACCTCATGTGCTCAGCAGCCACAGGTGGCCGGTGACAGTGCCGGTCTAGGCAGAACAGGAGTGAGTCCAAAAGATCACGGTGCTCAGTCACAGGGAATCGTTAATCACAAAACAACAGAGCCGACCTGAGTGGGGGAGGGGCTTTTCAAGGGCTGGGAACGTTCCAGGTGGTGGTCTCACAGGTATGCACAAGAATTCAAAACTGTAAAATTCAAATTTTATCAATCTATACACCCAAGATTCCTGCGTTTTCCTCTGTGTAAGTTACACCTTTATCAACAAAAAGAAAGGGGAGGGGGGAGCTGAAAGAGCCTTTGAAACCCCGGCATTCACCACCTCATTTGATAGAGAAGCAACTAGAAGAGACTGAGAGGCAGGAATCGGTTCCCCCCAGGGCCCAGGGGTGAGGCCTGGCCTCGGTCTCTCTCACATCCTCTCTCCTTTGCCATGCACCTCCCGGGCGGCACCAGACTGCCTGGCCCTCCATGTCAGCATGTCAAAGCTGCCTAAGCCAAACGTCACACACTTCTAAGCCAAATGAGCCATTCCGTTTCTAGAAAGATCTTTGTCATGTCCAGGAATGCTGTGTCCCTGGCTAATAACTTCCAGGCAGGGTCTCACCCTTTTCTGCTACAGAGGACTTGTCAAAGGCAGAGTTCTCATCCAGCTAAATATGACTCCAAGATGGTCTGAAAACGCATACCAACCAAGTTCAGGACACATTTTGTCCCTGTGACTTTTCTCAAGTGCACAGATGCTCATGCTTCAGAGATGCGAGACAGACACAGTCTGCTTCCGAGGAAGGCAACTCTAGAGAAGGACTAGGGTTAGGAACCAGGACTCTGCACACAGTCAAGAATCTATTTGCAAGGCTGATGTCAAAGTGCACAAATATTTTCCTATTCTTTGTTCTAAATCATCTCATTGTTTAAACAGCTCCCAACTGCCTGAGTTTAAACCCCAGCTTCAGTCCTAAAGCATGCTGGGGGTAGATTTGGGCCAAAGACAAATAGGGACAATTGTCCATGTGCATCTCCAGCAGCAGCCTTACTGACCTGCCCTGAGTCTTAGTTTCCTCACCTGCAATGGGGACAATAAGAGGACCCACATCTCAGGGCTGTTGTGAGGGTCTGATGCGTGCGCAAAGCACTGGGACACTGCGAGCGTGCCACTCTGCTTAGAGTAAGTGCTCGAGGATGAGTACATAATATTTTAAATGACCCTAGGTTTGCCTTCATTCTCCAGATTGTTAGCAGAGTCTAAGCTAGAAAGGCGTTTCCTGAACCACTTGGAATGAAGACACAGGGAGTGGCTGGCACCTCTGTTATCCCACACTGATTTCTCCATCCCCACCACTTATTTTTTTAATGAAGGGAAGACTGGGAAATCCTCAAAATAACCAAGGCAGTGACACTGCCACCTCCTTGCCCTTGCAGGGAGAAGATGACAAGTCCAGCTGCACACCCAAAACCTGGGGACAGGGTTA